TATTTTCCTTAATTCATCATTTGTTAACTGGCTTTGTTGTGTGCGTCTCCCTCCAGTTGTCATGGCTGTATGGCCTAGTTTGTGACAGTGTGTTCTTACTGGGACAGGCCATCATGCGACAGGTTCGCACGAGCGATGGGGAGGGCAGCCCTGAGCACAGCTCCCTGGCCAACGTCACCTGCTGGCCCATGCCCGTCAACTGGCGGCAGAGTGGCTTCCTCCGCTTGATCCCCAAACCACAGGACACTGAGCACTAGAGAACATAATGGAATGGAATAGAATAGAATAGGAATGTTTACTACAAACAAACCTAATTCAACATCCATAAAATATAATAAGAGGCATATTCAACTAAATAAAAAATATAATTTAAAAAGCATTTAAAACCAGTATGAAGGGCATTTAAAAACAGCCTGTGGGACACAGCACCATGAACGCACATTGTAAGAAGTGGTGCTATCAAAAAGGCGTGGTTAAAGAGATATGTTTTTAAGTGCCATCACAAAAATTCAACAGAGCCTGCCTCTCTAATATCTTTCGGTAGACTGTTCAAGAGCTAGGGAGCATATCTAAAAAAACATTGCATCTCCAGTTTTCTTTATGGTGGAGTTTTGGATGTCTAGAAAGCTGACAGTAGAAAGTCTAAGGGTTTGTAAAGTAACATTCAGCAACAGGGAATCAATCAATCAATCAATTCAAGAGGATAAAGGGAGCCAGTGCAATGGCAATGAGTGCTCTCTTTGTTTTTGTTAGCAGTCTAGCAGTTGCAGCCTCTCAATGGACTTTTTAGGAAGACCAGTGAAAAGTGCATTGCAATATTCTAGTCCTGTGTTTTTTTCTGGGGATCCACTTTTTAAAAATGACAAACTATGGTGACTCAATTCACAGTGAGAAGAGCAAAACTGTGCATAAATGAATGTTTCGGACCATTTTTACTGCTGGGCCGTTTAAATCACTCAATCAGTAAAACAATACACATTTTAAATACTTTATAAATAAAATAACATATAAGCATTGAGGTTAACAGGTGTCCATTATTTTCTTTCGCGGTCACTTTATGAGACAAAATAAGTGCATTTAGGAAAAGTAAAGGCTCTTGTTTTTTAAAGTTATCAGTAAAACAATGTACACATTTTAAATAAATACTACTAAATACATTTAGCAGGAGGAAGAAATTCAGCAAATTTACCTGTGACCTACATACACTCTCCCAGTAACTGGGAATGAAGGCACAGATATAAATGTGGATGGTAAAAATTGGACTCTTTACCTCAGACGTAAGCACTGTCGAATGTTTGCTATTGCTTTAATGCCGCTAATTTGTGGCCCAAGTTCCCTAAAGTCTTTTTGTCTTTTGCAAATTTACTTACTTACTCCACATTTCACTGCAATTCCACTCAAAATAAGTGATTTTGCTCAAATACGTTGCTGTTATTAATGAAGACTTGTTCGGGCCTTAGTTCAATTTAGAAATGTTCCTGTGCAAATATTGCAGTACTGAAAATTTGCTGGTGCTCACCTTTCCCCATTCTCCTCCAGCCATGTAGGGCAGACAGTCAGTGTTGCTGCAGTCTCTGTTAGTGGCAGGTTTGGCCCCCCAGCAGGACTTGTCTCCCAGCCTCCTATAGGCTCCTGTGGACAGGAGCTGCTTACAGTAGACTTTCCGCACCTGGACACCCCCACCACAGGACCGGGAGCACTGAAGGGAGCAAGCAGAGGTAGGAAGGGAGGAGTTTAATCAGTTTTTATTACACACACAATCACATACATGGGCGCGCACACACACACACACACATAGTCCTACCTGCTGCCAGGGCTCGGTCTCCCATGCAGGAGGACAGTCCACCTGATTGCAGGGTTGCAGGATGGCAGGTTTAAATTCCCTGCACTCGTCCTCTGAAACAGTCAGAATGTCCTGCTGGTCGACGGACAACAGACGCATGCAAAACACGCTCCTGGTCTGTATGCCGACGCCGCAGGACGCAGAGCAGCCGGTCCATGCTGTCACCTCCCATCTGCAGAGGGAGATAATGGAGCCGATCACAAAACACTGCTTAATGCTAGGACGCAAAATCTCTCTAGGAGATGGACTGTGGAAGTGCTGATACCTTTTGTACACATTTGCAAACATGAAATGACCCCTTTGTGGCACAATATAAATATACTGTATAATTTTAAAATAGTTATAATACCCTTGTATTGTAAATAAAGAGATAATCGTGACAGTTCTCTGCTTCTGTCTTGTGTCTTCCCACTCACACTGTGTGGCAGAGATAAAAGGAGTAGAACTGAGGATGGAGGAATCAGGACAACATGTGTCTGAAAATGAAACATTGTTGTTCAGTCCACTGTAATTTATAAATGGCATTAATCTCTAATGATGCACAGCTGTCACTGCTTGTAATGGCTTGTTTCATGTCTCAGAACTTGGTTTTGCTTGAATAATGTAACAGCCTGATGTTGCATTTTCATGTGAGGTTTTTCCTTTCCTTCAACTAAATATTATATAAGAGATGAAAAAAAAATACTATATTACACTGTGGCAACCTCAATGTCTGCAAATTTAGCCAACATGAAAGTAACTAAAGCTGCAGTTCCTCTAACTGCCATTTGGCGCTGGCTCCAGAAGTGAGTCAGTGTCCATAAGGCCATGTTTGCAGGCTGGTACAAAAAACACTTTTGTTCTTTATAGGTAAAAACTGTACAGTGGGTGAATTTTTATATAACTCATCCGTTTAAATTGAATTATGGATTAAAGTTAAGGTCATGGCTGTTTTTAAATGATAGCCAGCTTTTGTCAGTAACCAGGTTTCTATCAGCCGGCCTTAGCTCCACCCACGCTCCCCCTCTTTGCCCATTTTTGGATTAGTCAGGAGCTGGCAGAGTCAGGACTAGAAAGATGGCCATGTTTCTACAGTAGTCCAGAACAAACAAACCAAACACTGGCTGTAGGTAGGGACGGTTTCAGTTTCTCCTACACTCTTCACAGCCTGTTCTCTTTCCCAGGTTGTCAAATACAGATGCAAGGACTTGCATTTAAATGGCGCTTTTCTGGTCTACTGACCAGGTGTGTCCAGGCTTTTTTGACTGGGGTGGCACGAATGGGGCACTGACGTATATGTGTTCACACACACATACACACACATACATTTTATAATACCATTATTTTACCAGTTCTCTATCTACTTGAATTACAAACATTACACTACAGAGTGCAACACAGAGTGGCACATACAAATATGATTTAAAGCTTCTATACTTGATTCTTTAAGTCTTCAAAATCGTACCTTTTTGTCAATATAGCTAGAAAAGCCATCAATCAACTGAATGCCGCTAGTTTGTGGTTGTACAGTTTCATGGGGATGGGATTACCCTAGAGGTCACTGTTGATCATTTTAGCGAAAAATGGTCTCACTACAATGAAATTTATACTATGGGAATGAACATCATCACATACGAATACAATTGGGCTAATCTCGGAGTGGAAGAGAGGGATGGCCATTTAAATTTCAGGGGTGGCCAGTGCCACCCAGGGCCTCCCCACTGGACACACTCCTGCTACGACCAAAGCACTTTACAACACTTGTGACATTCACCAATTCACACACACATTCATACACTGATGGCAGGGATCCAATAAGGAGCAAACAGCACTTCCTATCCAAAGTATAATCCAAAGATTATACTAAGCTAAACCATACACACACACACACCTACACACACACACACACACACACACACAGACAGCACAGCCTTCAGGAGTGATTTGGGGTTTAGGATCTTGCCCAAGGACACTTTGACTGCATTGGAGAGACGACCTGCTTTACAAACTGAGCCAAAGCCGCCTCATACCGCACAAGGACCAGATACAGAGCTCTGGTTCCTTTATTGCTTTCATAATTTCATAAAGTCAGCAGGAGACTACACCCTGTGTGTGTGTGTGTCTGTGTGTGTGTCTGTGTGTGTCTGTGTGTGTGAGGGCATGCACGCTGCAGCTGCTTCCTGTAAATGTCCATTAGAGGACAAGAGAGTGGTAAATCAGTGTGTGTAAATCAGACATGCCTCCAGTTTGCAGGACTACTAGATGGGCAAATATCCATTGGCTGCCTGAAAATGCAGTGATTTATAGCATGGACACACACATGCACAGGCATACACTGATGAAGTACAAAAAATATTACAACCACCCTCTGACTGCGGAGTTACAGCCACTTTTGCAAAATACAAACTGATGCCCTTCAATAATCGTCCTCACTGACATCTCAGTTGTGATATGAGTGCGCACAGAAAAGTTGTCCATGTCTGCCTCTAACCCACCTACCTATAATCTATGACAGTGGTTCTTTTTACATTGTGTACCTCCTCAGAAAATATTAGGCTCTCCAAGTACCACCCTTATGACCTACGTTAAAATGCAGCAGCGTAGGCTGACCCTATTCAACTTCAGCTACAGGAAAGGCAGAACTAATTTGAAATGACAGTTTCAGTGATGTCATGGTCTTTTTATTTAAAATGCTTCAGTATTTTGATCATATTGTTTTTCCTTTACATTTTTCTGCTAGATGCCACCAAATCCTACACACTGGTCCTTTACAGTGTGTATGATTTAGTGGTTTACTGGTTTCTCAAAACGTGCACAAAATGTTTATTTTTTCTCTAACGTGACTTTTGTGCTCTATCTATGCTGAAAATAATAATGAAAGTGAAAGTGTTTTCTTAGCTGCACCATCTGGTACTGAACATCCATACTTACCTATGTGTGATATTGATTTTAATTTGCCTAATGTCTTAAAAATATGTTCAAATCATGTTTAGTCTTGTTGCATTTTGAAGAATAGATTCTAATAGATTACATTTGTGCATCGGCCCCAAGATTGAAAAAATATCAAGATTTTATTTTAATTTATTTGATGTTTTGTTATTAAACGACAATATGTGATTTCTGCCATTCTTTCTCGCATCAAAACAATAACAAACCACCTTTGCTGTCATCGCAGTCAGCTTCTCCCGGTTAGGATTCCTTCACTGTTTATCTTCTTTTTTTTTTACTAAAATCCTTTATCTGGTTTAAATCTAGTTAAAAAGCACCAAGATCTAAACAGTGGGTGGTAAAAATGTGGCTTTCAAACTGCGATAAAAAGTCAAATGTATGACAGCTTTCTGGCAGAAAACCACGAACGCTGACGCAGGCACAAAAGGGGATATGACGCCACTCGACAGGGGACCAGTGAAAAGCACCGTTACCTGACAGATTACAAATGACAGCATTTCAGATTTGAACATTGTTGGAAACATTCTGGGATAATGTAAGAAACACAACTCGAAACTACATATAGAACATAGCTCTAATGTTTATACTAGACATTTCAATGTGGAAATGTTTTTTAAGCTAAAAATGCATCATACTGATTTCATACTAATACTGTTTTTTTAACAGCCAAATCATTTCACTTGGCCCAACCTGACTGCATGTCTAATTGTGTTTATTCAGCAAGGTACCTGTTTTGGAGGGCCAAATATGGCATATAAATCAGTTTACAAAGCAACAGCTCTCTGCAGTGGTCCCAAACCCTCTGACTGCACTCTCAGTGGTAATCCCAGTGTTTATTCAAACTGGTGCAGGCAACTCTGTTTAGTTTTCCTCTAAACTCCATCAATGAACTTCATTTGCTGCGTGCCACCCCGACTCTCTTTCCACCAGGCAATAAAAGCCCAAAAGAAAGAAAAAAAGCTGCCCTCTACTATCAACTGCTTTGCAACAGCCGCTGTAACCTCCACACACCAAGCACGATATAATTCCCCTGTGTCCTAATGGCTCACATAGTCTCCCTA